TTTATTGATTTCAGAGAGAGAAAGGGAGAGGGAGAAAGAGACAGAAACATCAATGATGAGAGAGAGTCACTGATCGGCTGCCTCCTGCACACCCCCTGCTGGGGATCGAGCCCGCAACCCGGGCCTGTGCCCTGACCCAGAATAGAACTGCAACTTCCTGGTCATAGGTCGATGCTCAACCTCCGAGCCACTCCGGCTGGGCAAGACTCAGTTTCTTTGTCTTTTCCAGCTTCTAGAGTTTGCACTCATTCTGTGGATCATGACCTTTCTATGACAGCAACGTAAGACCAGCAATGGCAGTTCGGGTTCTTCTCCCACCACCCGGGACAGCACTGTCTCTTCTGCTTCTGTCTTCCACCTTGTAAGGACTTTTGCGCTTACCCTGTGCTCACCTGGATAATCCAGGATACTCTACCCACCTTAATATCCTTAATGTAATCATATCTGCAATGTCCCCTTTGTCATATTTTAAAAAAGCAGATTCAAACTTGCACATCTTTGGGGGCTTTTATTCTGCCTAACACAGATATATTTTTTGTTATTTAAAAAACATGAAAATATCTAAAGACTTAAGAGTATAAGAATATTAAAGTGGATATATTAATGTAACCTTATCTTTCTGACAATATCCCATAAAATGGCAAAGAAAATCTTCCTTTCCTCAAGTCCATAAGATAATCCATTAGTGAGCACCATGTTGTTTTCTGAAATGCTAATTTAACTTGCTGTTTGTCTTTTGATAAATCTGGTAGCGCCTATGATGATTTGTAAGGCCTTAGTACACTACAATGTGTTCTCTGTAATTCAATTCAATAATTGTGATTGACTTCAACAGTTGGTATCAGGAATTGTTAAAAGCAACACACTCCCCAAAGAATGAGAACCTGGTTTTAGTTATATCACCTGGTTTGGTTTAGAGGCAGAAAGAATGCCATCAGTGTTAAAATATGGACACAAGTGGTCCACAACATGCATGGCAAAAGGTTTATTAAAGTTTACCTGTGGTCACCCTAATGGAAGAGGTCAGCCTAAATGGCTGCTCAAACAGACCGTTACAGAAAGAATGAGGAATGCAGACACTGACCTGTGACCCAGTTGCTTCCAGAGGACATAAACAGAGCACATGATACAATCATTCCTTTAAATTTGTGATTCAATAAATAAGGCATAGTTTAGGTTTTTTTTCATCCTTCCCCAAGGGCAACCTCCCATTGCTTTTCAGAGAGTGGAAGAGAGAGAGAGAGTGAGAGAGAGAAACACCAATGTGAGAGAGACATATTGATTGGTCACCTCCTACACGTGCCTGGACCAGCACTGGGGACCGAGCACGTGCCCCTGGCTGGAACTGAACCCAGGACCCTTTAGTTCTCGAGCCAACACTCTAACCACAGCCAAACTGGCTAGGGCAATAAGGCATAGTTATAATAAGTAGACATTGATTTTTTAAATGTTATTTTCACAACTGGAACCTAAAATTGTAGTATTTTTGAATTTTAGGACTATTTTCCATATGAAGAAACCAAAATTTAAAGACTGTAAGTAACTTGCCTCAAAGTTGATACATATGACAAAGAACTTTGATAAAATCCTCAGAGCAGAAATAACAGACACTGAGGTTTTCAAGGTGGCAGTGGAGTAGGTGGATCTTGCTCTTATCTCCTCCCAGAACCAAACTGGAAATACAGCTAAGTGGGGAACAATCACCCTGAATTACTAACTGAAGACTATCTGAAGAGGGGACTTTTAACCAAGGACTTGCAGAAGAAGCCACCTCAAGCCTGGTAGGAAGGGTGGAGATGTGAAAGGGGCTGGCCCTGCTCCCACTGGCAGTAGCCAGAGTTATTGAGGGATATCTCAGCAGCAAGAGATTCCCCTGAGATGCATTAAGGTTAAACGCCAAGCCAGGCTACCCAGCTCAGAATGCCAGAACTGGGAACAGGCACCCACATAGCATCCGGCTGTGAAAGGTGGTGGAGTTTCTGTATGCTAAGGAGAGGCTCAGCCCACTGGAGACAAAGGCACCCTCTTAAAGGGACAACTCACAAAATTTTGTTTGCAGCCACTCAATCTGGGCCCTGGTGGAGGGAGGGCAGGGCGGACATGATTCACCTGAGGAGCGTCTGGGGTTTATGGCTTTGGGGAGAGATGTGAGGGAACAGAAGCTAGGATCCCTGTACTGAGTCATCCTCCAATACCACAAGGCCATCTTTCTTGGGCAGAGCAATCCTCTCTGAACAGTATCAGCCTGGAGAAAAGCAATTAACCCACCTTCTGGAATCCTGCTCACCCCACCATGCAAATCTTATCCTCTGCTGAGAAGTCAGTGGCATAGGCTGGGGCATAGAAGTCTGGGGAAACTCAGGATGTGTTAGAAACTGGCTGTAGGACTAGAACATTCCCGCCAGTTTCCCATGAACCTGACTGGTGCTTCCCCCTCATGGGAGATCCAATAGAAACACCCTCCCAACTTTTGGCAGACCCAAACTTTGGGCTCCAGAGGCCTCACCCACCTGACTACTAGGGGCCCTGCCCTGCCAAGGTCAGAGAAAAATCTGGGACAGACTCAGACATGTGTCTCTGGGGCAAGGGATCACACCACCATCTTCCCTGAAGTCTGAATAGCACCTCCTTCTCATGGGGAGATCCAATAGCCCCATCCTCCTGATTCGACCAGAGGATATTTCAGTGACTGAGACTTTTTAGTGACTAAACTTAACAGCCAGAGGCAGGTGGAGGCAGGTGAAGGCAGATTTTGGGGTGCCTTGGGATATTTGCTGATCTGCCCCTAGG